AACGAACAAACGAACGAACGAACGAACGAACAAAGGAACGAACGAACGAACGAACGAACGAACGAACAAACAGACAAACAACAGCAACACAAAAAGGTACATAATGCAAATATCTTAACTTCTGTTTTATTTTGTTTGACATTCCAAAGGTTGTACTGACATTATGGGCAGAGCATGCCCTGGTTGGGCGGATCTATGTAGCCACGCTGTTGTCAAGCAAAACTGCAGAAAAACATGTAACGCTTGCTAAGGTAATTATTCTCGACTTTAATTTTACCGCAGTTTTCAATTTCTTTTTTGCTCAGCCTTAGTCGCAGTTTCTGCACTGAAATATTCAGTTATTTGACTAAAATCTGTCCCAAAATTTTAATCAACTCCATACTATAGTAGTTACATACAATCGGCCTTAATAAAAGAAAAGAACACTTCTAAGTGACCTTTAAGAATTCTTCTCTAAAAGCCAGGAAATTCTTATTTCTTTCTTTTTTTTACTTTGGTTTTGCAGGACCTCTCTGAAAAACACCTTGGTGACGAGAGCTTCCTGTATAAACATTGTTGCACTGTATTATTATTATTTTTTTTATTATTATTATTATTATTATTATTTGTTATTATTAAATTCTGCTTGAATTTGATATATAAGGTATCAAAACCCTAATTTGCATATCAGAATATTCCAGAGCATCGTTATAGTTTTATACGTTCAGTTTAAACTCCCTTTTAAGCCTTTCGTACTGTTTAATAAACGAGCAGGAGTGTTTTATCGGGTATAAAACACGAGGCGTAGCCGAGTGGTTTTAGACCCGATAGAACACGATCTGCGAGTTTATTAAACGGCTTAAAAAACTCCTGATGTATGTTCTCATACTATACTGAATTCTTTACGAAATGAACAAGGTTTGATAGATAAAATCCAAGTTAAAGTTTATGCAAATGAAGACGAATCTATATCAGATATAAAACCTCCTTCATGGTCATGATTTCTATTGTGTTTTCTTCATGAATTATTAATGAGTTTTTTAAACAATAATTAATATGCTTTCATCATAATGTCAGTCGTATCAAGGCAATCATTTTCAGCTCTAGTAAAAAATTCCGTTTAACACATTTTTTTCTTTTGCAGTTTTATTTTACCCCAACTACGAGCTAATACCAAAGAAATGACAAAGTGTCTTTGAAATACGCAAACTTGTAATGTTCTTGTATTGGAAAATAAATATGAATTCTTTACCAATATGATTAGTGCGAAATGGTGCGCTGTCCTCAATGCATAGCTTTAAAAAGACAAAATATATTAGTTCCAAGTCAAATGTTATGTATAATATATTGATAAATCAATAGCACTAAATTGGCCTAAAATTAGTGGTGTATTCGTATTAATATATAGCTTTCAAGCCAGAGATGGTATTTTTAATATATTAAATCAGTAACGTTAATTGAGCTAAAAATAGCGCGAAATGGTTCGTCCTCAATATCAAGACAAGGGTTTGAGACTAGTTTATTAATTTTTCCTTTTTTTTATTTCTT